TATATTGGGTTGGCAATTAAATAATTGCGGAATTTATCGATAAACTTATTTAAAATCCGAAATTACTTAATTGCCAACTCAATATAATAATTTATATATTTTACTAAATTTTCGAATAAATTTTTCTCACAATCCTTACCCCCCCTTTTACACATGAATAATTATTACGCAGTTTCTGACGAACGGAAGCCACGCTGGGTACTTAGGCCACACGGCAACACGGAAGTAAACATGTGTTACACATATAAAATTTATTCCACCTAAACTCGACTGCAGGCCGCTATAAATAAAACACTCGTACCGTGAACTCGGTGCAGGAAATATGACGAGCCTAGCTCCTAAACAGGATACACATTACACATTGAATTATTATAACAAGGCATTGTCTCATTTGCGGTACTGGTGGTAGTAAGGCCGTAGTGAAAACCGACTCTCCGCGTCGTAAAAAATCATTTTTACGCCGCGTTAAAACCCGGATAAGTATAAGACATGCATATTTCACTGGCGACAGAGCGGTGACATAAATTCGAACGTCGCCTGTTTCTCAGGCAAATGACTAGCTTTTTTTCGCGTTCGGTCGAAGGGGGGAGGCTGGTGGTTTGGCCGAAATTGCTTTCCTCTCCGGAAACTTTGCAAGTTCTTGGACGAAGCTTGGCGGAAATCGACTCTCTCGCCGCGGAGGGAACTCATACAACGACGCGACTAATGTTATTGTTGGAGCGTGTGTCCGCCGCATTGAGACGGCATTATATAAGAATTATACGCGGCATAAACGTGACTGGTGCGCTACACATTCGAGACGGGGACATTAAGCCGTCGTTCGTGTGAATCGGCTGTTGGAAGTCGTACGAAGACGTCGTAACGAGGAATTATTCGCGCCAGTCACGGGATCCGTTGGTCGCGAATTTATACGACAACTCGTTAAATCTGAAAGCGCATTCAGAACCGAACGGAAGTACAACCGAAGCCGAAAAGTAAGGATCGATAAAGAATGATAATTCATTTAGTGTCTCTCCTGACCTTTCGGTCTCCAATGGACTTCCTTCTTCCTTTATACAATACATNTTATTAAAATTGAGTATCATAATTTTTACCTCCATTTTCCCTTGACGATATTAATATGAAAGTATAAGTGATCGGTGGAGCCATCGAGCAGAATCCTCTTAGAGTTCGCTTGTCCTAAATAAACCGCACGAATTGCGTTCACCGTGCTCGCAATTAATGGGTCACTCCAGAAGACCCGAGCGTTCGCAGCAGCAAATTCCTTCTAGAAGAAGCCAACGCTCATTAACCGTACCGAGCCGACCGAACGCTTCGTTAGCCTCCCCCCTCCCAGCACTTCGTTATTTACCATCTTTCTCACCTCTTTTCCTGTTATTTCAAAAGGCCAAGGGAGCCGGACGCGGACAGTGCCAGGCTAGAAGCGGACCAGGAAGCTCCGCTTCCTCCGAGGAGGCCAGAGACTTTTTACTACGGCGAGGAAAGACTCGGCGAGGAGACCCAGCCTGAGCGGAAGTCCAAGGATTATGAAAGGACGCCCTGGCAGCGTCCGACGCTGCTGGACGAATCGGTCCTCTTCAAACCCGAAGAGGACAGCAGCTTGATCAGCAAGGAACACTCCCTCGAATACCAAAGTCAAACGCTCGAGAGTCAGCTACTCTCAGCTTCCTTAGAAAGTCTTCTAAAATCAGCGCCGGACAGTTGGAGCCAGCAGTACGACAGACCCGAACCGGAGCGTAGCTTCAAGGAGACCCAGTATTCACCGAAGGAGAAACTCGACGCTGAGACACAGACCGAGCAGGAGACCAAGAGCACTCAGTGCAGCCCTGAACAGAGCGTCAGTCCGTCCGAGATCTCCAAAGAGAGTCCCATACATCTAGCCAGGAAATATTACCAGAGTCCAAGGCGGGAGGTGCAGACTCAGACTCAGGGCGAGAGTAAAAGCGTCCAGTGTTGCTTAGACGAATTAGGGAGTTTATCGAGGACTCCAGATTTTGAAGAGTCGTTCGACAGCCCTTCGAGATCTGAAAAGGAGTCGAAGAGCGTTCAGTGTGTTCCGACTGATATTTCCTTCGTCGCGAAACCGGCGGACGGTTCAGATAAGTGCGTACGGAGTCCTCGGAGGGAGGTCGAAGTTCAGACTTATCAGGAGTCGAAGGCCGTCCAGTGCAGCGACGATGAGCTGCTAGAGGAGGCTGGACAGCGTCCTGAGAGATCGAAGGAGGCCGAGAATCCCGCGTCACCTTGCAAGCTACCGACGTTGGTGTTCGTCGAGGAACGGGTCGACATGACGGTCACGCAGCGAGATCCCGAGGGTAACGTGAGCTGGTCGAAGCACTGGGGACCGGAGAGGCTCGTGGAGATCTACAGGGAACCGAAGACCAGTCTTGGGCTGAGCATCGTCGGCGGAAAGGTGCGTAACGTTTGTTCTGGTTAAAAATAAAAGTTCGAGCGTCGGATGCTGCGTAGCGATGATCGTGTCAGTGTGTGGACGCCGGCCCGTCCGAGCGGAAGTGAAACGTGTGTGCTGGCTGAATGGATTGCTTTGCCAAGCTTTGGAGCCTGGTTAAGGTATTATTTTACAAATCCTCTCGTCAGGTTTGACTTTGAAAAGGTGCTCGAGGAAATTTCATGGTTCTAAGCTCGTTCACGCTGCATCCAACGGCTTATGTTTTCTTTTGCAACCGGATTTAGTATGCGTTTACGAAGTAATTAGTATTTCACGTCGGGGCTGGTTAGTAAATTTTGTTCATTTTTATTACTGCCCTTTCATTCGGAAAAGTTTGAAGAACGACTGAAATATTTATAACGGAGGGCAGTAATAAGAATGAACGAAATTTAGTAACTAGAATTGCACATCGTGGTTTCGTCGGGGCTAGTTAGTAAATTTCGTTCATTTTTATTATTGCCCTTTCGTTCACAAAAATTCGAAGAACGACTGAAATATTCATAACGAAGGGCAGTAATAAGAATTAACGAAATTTAGTAACTAGAATCCCACGTCGTGATTTCCTCGAAGCTAGTTACTAAATTTCGTTCATTTTTATTA